GAGCGCCACGCACCCGGCGCCGGTGTGTGTCGAGCGCCTGAGGCCGGCGCCTCCCGTGCGCCGCGGGTGGGGCCGGCCCAGGTTGTCTGCTGGAGCACACAAATGCCCCGGCGGGCGCCATGGCACCCGCGGGCACTTCGTTGGGGACCACTGGTTTATACTGTGCTCCGGTTTCAAGTTGTGTGTTCCGATTGTTCATCTTGTTACAGGGCTATTTTGTTTCTAAAGTCTTTCATTAAAATCTGTTGATTTAGTTTTCTCATTGATGCTTAAATAGTAATAATTTATAACAAAGGAAAATTTAGTTACACAGATTGCTTAAATAAACTACATTTCTTCGTTGGGGACCACTGGTTTATACTGTGCTCCGGTTTCAAGTTGTGTGTTCCGATTGTTCATCTTGTTACAGGGCTATTTTGTTTCTAAAGTCTTTCATTAAAATCTGTTGATTTAGTTTTCTCATTGATGCTTAAATAGTAATAATTTATAACAAAGGAAAATTTAGTTACACAGATTGCTTAAATAAACTACATTTGCCTGGATCAGGGTTTATCACTCTTGCTTATATTATGAATCCATAGGTTAAGAATTTCTAGCCTTGCAACTTTAACTGCAGAAGTCCATATCTTTTAAATATTTTGTTCCTAAATAATAGAACTGATCAGAATGTAGAGATGAATATGGGAGGGAAGGGAATATTCAAGGCTGACTTTTTAACCATAATCTTTAGATTTCTAGCTGGGGGTGGGGGGAGTGTGTGTGTGTGTGTGTGTGTGTGTGTGTGTATATATATATATATATAAAATTTTAGACTGTTTTTCTATCAATTTTCCTTTTTTGTACATTTGTGTTGGGTATATTCTTACTAACTGGGACTGAGTAAACATCATTAACTTCCATGTACCTGTTAGTCATTAAGCAATATATTTTTGTTCTTGTGTGCTTGAAATGCATAGCTAATTCTAAATTAACTCCTATTGGGAGTGCTATTTCCAAAGAACAGCATTTTGCTGCATTGACAAGCCTGCTGTTTGTCAAATTTAGAGATGGGTCTTAATCTTACTGACATCAGTGTCACTCAGAAAACTGTTAAGGAGCATGTGCATTTTGCATATTTATTTATGTGTGTTTCTTCAAATAAGTATTTTAGCTATGATAGAAATTGTTTAGAGTGCTGTCTAGCCAGCTAGTTTAAGATTCAGAAACAGGTCTGTGTCATTTTTCAAATGGCTTCTGGATTAGAGATGTTAGATAGTGATTAATTTAATAGTTGTGTAACTGCATAAAATATTATCGTTTACATTACAATTTGTTAGTCCCTGGTGCAGGGCTGGCAGCCAGTGCACTCCTGGCCCCACTCCAGGGAACACCCTGCCACCTTGTGAGGGGAGCCAGTTTAAAAACCGGCTCTCTGTGCAGAATGGCTCCTGCCTGCTGTCCTGTGCTGCTGCCTCTGTGGACAGGGTCTGTGATGGCATCCTATGGAGCAGCCTCCCCTGCTCCACCGCCTGCTCTGCTGCTGCCTCTATTAGAGGCAGCAACGGGGCATGGAAGGTGGGGGCTCCATGGAGCCAACTTAAAAGCCAGCTCCCCATGCATGTTGGCTTGTGCCTGCCCCCTTGTGCTGCTGCCTCTGATAGGTCTACACTGCAACACTATTTCAGAATAACTAGTGATATTCCCAAATAACTTAGTTCGTGTCTACACAGCAGGCAATTATTTTGAAATAGTGTCAAGATACTGTCAAGCTAGAGGACTTCCTACTCCAACTCCTGAAAGCCTCATTGTATGCAGAATAAGGCAAGTCAGAGGAAGTGTGTTCTAGCTCGAAATAAGCGCTGTGTAGACGCTCCCTATTTCAAAATAAGCTATTTTGAAATAAGCTATGCAAACTCAGCTACATCAATTGTGTATAGTAATCCCTCATTTAACACTATAGATGTGTTTCAGAAAATGATTGTGTTAAGTGAAAATGTGTTATGTGGGGTCAATTTTCTCATTGACAATAATGAAAAAGGTGGGGATTGCGTTTCAAGCGGTGGTGTCTGTTGGGACCGGGACATAAGGTTGGGGGGAAAAAAGGGGAATGGTTACAGCAGGTAGGGGAAGTGTTTGGCTTTGGGGAAGGGAAGAGGAGGAGAGAAGAGGGGGATTGGGTGGGAGTATGCCCTTGTGATGGGTCTGCTGGGATCTGCGCTGCATCCGGCAAGGGGGGAAACCCTCCACCACTTTGCAGGGAGGTGGGGGAAGCCCCACACAGCCGCCGGTGACGGGCCAGCTGGGGAAACCCAGCTGCCGGCCTGCAAGGAGGGGGCGGAGGAGAGGGGGGCAAGGCGTCCGGCGAGGGGGAGTCAGCGGGGAAAGGTGTGGTGAGCGGCGAACCCTCTTCCGCTTTGTAGAGAGGTGGGGGAAGCCCCCTGCAGCTGCCAGCGACAGGCCAGTTGGAGAAATCATGTTATTCCAGGGACAGTTGTATAATTCAAAAAACATTCCCTAAAAAAAAATCGTGCTATCGTGAAAACGTGTTAAGCGGGCACCTGTTAAATGAGGAATTACTGTATCTTATTTCTAGTTCAGCTCTACAGTGTAGATTCATGCATAAAGAGCCAGCAGCACGGGGAGGAAGGAAGCAGCTCCTGTGAGCTGATATGCATGGGGACATGGCTTGAAAGCCAGCTTCCTGCATGCACCAACTCCTGCCTGCCCCCTTCACCCTTTGCGCTGCTGCCTCTATCAGAGGCAGTAGCCCTGGGACGTGCGTGGTGGTGGTGGGGGAGTAGACAGCTCCATGGATCTGATGCTTGTGGGGAGCCAGCTCTCCACACCACTAGCTCTCACTTTCTCCCCTTTATTGGGGGGTGGAGAGAGTGTGTGTAGTCGATAAGCCCAGGGTTATTGGTTAATCATGTACTTGACTACACAT